ATTTCCAGGGCAACTAAATTCTTACATGTATGAAATTGGTTTTTTGTTGTGGAGTATATTTTTACTGGAAGAGTCTAGTTACATCAGTTAATAAATAATAGTATTTTAAAGTTAATTGGTACTGAATATGTATTATAATACAATTGATAATATTCTTTGTAATTTAATGCCCTTTTAGAATATTTTTGTCTTAAATAGAAACTACATGTGGCTGAAAATGATAAATAATAGAATAAATTTTGGCTAATCATTTCACATTATTTTCCCTCTCAACTCCTAATAAATTGAAGTCAGAGAAGTCCATTGCTTGATTGAGATTAATTTAAACTACCCAGTACCCATAAAAGTTTAAAAATAACCAATTTCTCATTATTTTACTGTTTTTCTCCACTTCAGCAGAAAACTTGATAGAGAAGTTGGAGTGCTAGGTAGATAAACAAGAGGAAGTCAGAGAAAATTAATAGAGGACTCTGCCAGATAATCAAAAGTCACAGATAGAGAGGACCCCTAGAGGCATGGTTTGGAGATAGTGCCTCTTGGAATACCTTAAGCAGCTCCCCCCTCCTTCCCCTGAGGGCTGGTCTCTTTCAGGTTAAAAAGGGTCATATCCTGAGGTCAGATAGGCCTCTGCATTTGTTTGCTGATAATAACACAAAGTTGATGATTTTAAAACACACACATTTATTCTCTTATAGTCTGAAGTCTGGTTTATTGGACCATAATCATGATGTCAGGGCTGGCTGGGGGGGGGGGGGGGGGGTAGGGGAAGGAAAATTCTTTTCATTGTCTTTTCCAGCCTCTAGAGCTGCATTCCTTGCATTTCATGGCTCTTGAGTCCCTCCTCCCCCTTCATAGCATCTTATTTTAAGTGTTTTGTTGTCTTTTTATTCTGTGCAAAATGTATTTTGCCCTTAAAGTCACAGGATCTAGAAATTAGGAGCCATTATTCAGTTTGCCATAATCTCCTAACCAGCACCCTGCCACAGATAACGGGACAGGCTTAGAGTCCCAGACTCTTTCCTCCTGATTTCCTAGTGCACAAAGCAGTGGCCATTCTGTCTTTTCCTTTAACAGGAACTGCCCTTCTCTCCTATATTAATTTATCTCCTGTTGGCAGGGCTACTAGTAATGAAAAAGATACACTTAAAACAAATTAAGAAAATATGCTGACCTTATGCTCATCATATTTAAAATTTCCCTTTGTGTGCTTGATTTCTGATTTCTGTTTTATCATATCATCATAGATGGTTTGCCGGAGTTGCTTCATTTTTTTGGTAAGAAAGTAATTTGTAATCCAGATTTCAGATGAGAAGAGGAGGGAGCTGCCAGTGGGGTGGCCCCCAGGAACTGAGCCCACCTCCAGAGAGCAAGGTGGCTGCTCCATCAGGACACAGGTCTAAAAGGCATGGTTGAATGGACTAATGCTTATGATATGATTTTGGGAGTTACATCTTCTCAAAACATTAAACTTGGAGAAACCCGTTTCTTTATAAAATCTATAACAATTAAACTTTCTTTTTAGACAATCATAATTCTAGAGTGACTATTGGTATAAACACACAGGATGTTTTTAAACAAGATTAACTATATAGGGCAGCTTTTTGTTTTGGTTGCAGAATCTCTACAAATGAGGATTAAGATATTAATGCTTCCTCGTGTTTATTATTGGATAGGTTCTCCTTGTTCAACAAGAATTAAAATAACTCCATTTTGTCATCACAAAAGATCCACTAACATTTTTATGACCACTCCATGTAAATCACCCATCCCACCCTAGCTCACTCAGCCCTATAGCGAAACCAAATCAAAGGTAAAACATGCCACCTCATGGCCCTGGGTGTAAAAATTAAAGCTATTATAGTATGGTCTTTAAAACTTGTAGAGTTCAAAAGTTTAGAAATGATTGAGATTTTCATATATAAGTAATGTCCTGACAGCACTGCCCCCAGTGGAAATGACTGAGGTATCCATCAACATGAGCATTATCCCTGTGCCCTAAAGCTTTGCCCCAAATCACATTTTGGATCCTGAAGGCTCTGGTTGCCCTGGGCTCTCTTCAGTGCAGAAGTGAATGTGATGCAATGTTGTGACAGTACATCAACTCTTCTGTGTCGGTGCCAGCATAACAGTCCCGAATTCCAAACTGTTTGCTATTTAGCTCTGTGCTGAGCACATTGTAGTTTTAACAACCCAGACAGTCCCTATAAGAGTGAGGATTTAGTCACAATATTGTTGGTCTGTGTGACAAGTTTTAATGGGGAAAAGGTTACATTTGCATATTCTCTAGTTCCATTAACATTTCTAAAGTGAAGCCCAGTCAGCAATGAGATATGAGTTTGGCATCTTTAGGAAATCTTAGGTGGTTCTCATTTCTTATTCTCTTCTTCTGCATCTGGTTACATTTAATACTTGACATTTCTTGAGGGCCCACTCAATGTGCCAGAGAGCGCTCTAAGCGGCTCCTGTATATTATTTCTAATCATCCCAACAATGCTTCCAGGTAGGGATCATTATCTCAACATGACAGATGGACCCACTTGCATGTGTATTCCGAGAAAACCTCACATTCCAGCCCATAGAGATTCTGCAACAAAAGAATGTTTTGAATTTTTGAAAAACTTCCGAGTTTTTGAATTGCTGACTAACACCTTCCTTACCCAAATAATATATTTTAAAATCCTTACACCATCATGGATTTGATATTCTTTTATTGTTAACACTATTAGAGATGTCCCCCTGTTGACCGCCCTTTGGCCAGTCCGATACCATCTCTACCCCTCATATTCTCCCACCTCCTCCCTCCCCTGTGTTCTGTTACCTTGTTCAGGATAGCCTTTCTTTTCTTTCTACCTGTGACGCAGGCTCTTGGGTCCTTCCTTTGATTCTTTGGAGTATCCATCTGTTTTAAGTTTGTGTGTGTGTATATACATTCACACAATGCATTTTATGCATGTAAGCATGCAGTCCCTAAGACTGTTCCCCTAGAGATCTTGCTCCAAAGGTGTTCTTCTTTAAAAATATATTTTTTGATTCTCTACAGAGAGGAAGGGAGAGGGATAGATAGTTAGGAACATAAATGAGAGAGAAACATTGATCAGCCGCCTCCTGCACGCACACCCACTGGGGATGTGCTGGCAATCAGGTACATGCCCTTGATCAGAATCAAACCTGGGATCCTTCAGTCCACAGGCCAACGTTATGTCCACTGAGCCAAACAGGTTTCGGCTAAAGGTGTTCTTGATGTATGCCATGTAAACCTAATAGAACCATTACCATCTGGTTAATAAAACAGCTGAAATGAATTCTTTACCAATCATTTCCCAATGGCACAAGCCTACCTGAATTCATCCTGGCTATCTAGTGTCTTTACATGGCACTTCTCATTTTAATTTACAGGTATTCTGTAGATTTTTTTTTAAGTGTGCAAGAATGTAATTTTAGGAGGCTGCTCTTAAAAGAAGAGGGACTGTGCTATCTTGATGTTGCAAAAGTGGTTTAGAGTCATGCAACAAAAGGAAATTAAATTAAAAAGAAAAAATAGGCTTCCTGTGTTTTAATCCATAATTGCTCTCCACTGTGATCACATAGCCAAGAAAACGTCAATAGTTTGTCCATTATCAGCAATCATTTAATTATGTTTTGTAGCAAATGCATTACTGTGCCATATATGTCCTTTTGAAAATGTGTGTGTGTGTGTGCCTAAGGTTTTAGGTAAATTTATTAAATGCTCACTGCATATTAAATTAAATGTTTTATCTTTCCAATAAAAATAAACTAAGCCAGTTCAAAAGGACTCCTATTCCATAGTGTCTTCAGTAGCTCTAAGAGAAACACCATCGTGTTCTAAGATTTGCTTGACAACCTCTCCCAGTTGTGATAAAGGAAAGATAAAGAGAACAGGTTAGAATCTATGAGGAAACTTTTAACCTCTGTCTGCTCCTTTCTCTCTCTCATTTTTCATGAGTCTTATTCTCGGATGACTGCCCTGACCTGGCATCAGCAGGATGTATGCTTTTGAGCTGTTTCTCCAGGAGTAGAGTGGTTGTTACAAAGTCTTCTACTAGTTTCTCTTCTTCCCCATCCTTCAGATAAATAGGACACTTTTGTGGCTCTTGGGGTCAAGTTTTTATCTATGGTCTCAGAGGTTGCTTTTTTATTTCTCTGTTTAAAAAAAAAAATGGCTTTCTATTAGATGAATAGAATCCAAATAGTTGGCCCTCTTAACTTGATATTATAATTGGTAGAACTGACTTCAGAAAAATATTTATTTGTTTAATGGTGCAATCAACCTTATGTTTTAGAATGGATTTAAATATCGTAGGGCATTTTTCTTAAAATTACATAAACAACCAGCTTCTTGCAGTATCTAAGATATGAAAAGAAAAATACAGGAAAACAATATACAATGCATTAAATGTGTTAACATTGTATGGCTAATCTCAGCTCTTTAAATAAATAATTTCCTTCTTGTTGATGCACATTTATCCTCAGAAAATTTTTTTAAAGAAGAGGTAATAGCAATAATGATAACCATTAAAAAAAATGACATTAACTGTTATTATGACACTGTTGATTGTATCCATTCAGTTATATTTCTTTTTCTCTGATAATTTAATTAAACATTGTACTGGAACCAGACTGTTGAAATACTATATTAGAAAATAAATGTGACCTTGTAAATTATCTTTTTAAGCCCTAATTTAAAAACTATATATTAATAAAATCAGGTGCTAGTTTAAGTCATTTTTTTTTCACAATCTTCATACACATGTAACTCTAGTTGATACATCTATGAGAGTGTATGTATACACACATGTAAGATAGTATATGTGTGAAATAGTTTATATATATATATTATTTGCAGAAGTCTTCTTAAGTGGGTCCATGTGTAAGGAAACCAGAACAATTGTTTGTGAAATATTCCATAACTGAAAAGGTAACTGAGTGTGGACAGTGTGGCAGGATTCCTCGCTCATGTTCTCCTGCTTCCTTCTGTTCAGAGAATTTGGATGGAGAGACCCGGAGCTGCCTGAAGTGATTCAGATGTTGCAGCACCAGTTTCCTTCGGTCCAGTCCAATGCTGCAGCCTATTTACAGCACCTCTGCTTTGGAGACAATAAAATTAAAGCCGAGGTAAGCGCTACTGGATTCTCCAATGACCAGTGCCAGGTTAACCATCATAAGGTTTTTGGAATAATATTACAACAGGAAAGAAATAAGAAAAGCTTGAAAATGTTGAACCGTTTAAAAGAATGAAACATAGCACTTTCCATTTAATTAACTGGTGTGCCTACCATTCCATTTGCGCGTCTTTAACAAATGAACACTGCAGAGTGGAGGAGAAGGATACATGTGTTAGCATTAAGAAAGGTAAGATTGTCAACCGCTGTACTTTGGGTATGATTTGCCTTTCTCTTCCCAGTTCCATCTCTGGAGTTGTTTCTGCCTTTTAATCCTACAAAAATACAAAACAACCTATATTGGTTCCTCAATTTTCAACAAGATCTCTATATTCAATCTATGTTATCATCTGTCTTCCCTGGAAAACTCATTAATAAGATGGGAACTTGAGGCAATAAACCAGCTTTGTGTTATAACCAAGAATTCTAAGTCATTCACAAAAGTACCAGTATATATAACACACATATGCGTTCCATTAAAGAGAATAATGTCTGTAGCCATCATATAAACAATTGTTAGCTTGCTTTGTAATTCAAAAATATGTTAAAGTGTATACATTATAATATTTCAGGAAAATCATGGTGGTAAGCACAGCTAACTCTGAGTTTTTAGACAAGGGACAAGCATTTGCATATGAGCAGCTGAGTAATCATTTAAAATAAAGATTTTATAAGTTATAAATGTAATTGCTTGCATCCATAGCATGTAAGCAATTTTTAGGATGAGTCTAAATTAGTTTAAGAGAGGAAAGAAATTTGAAGACAGAATTGCAATTTATTATAGGTTTTGCTTGCTTGCATTGGATATATATAGCCTAGCAACTTTTCATTTTTTTCTGTCTCTTCCCTTGGGACTCAAAGGACTAGATCCAAGCTCATTCTTATCAGGACAGTCAGATTTGTGGAATAAATACAGAGCAGTGGTTCTCAACCAGGTGCATTATCGCCAAAGGGATGTTTGACATCAAGAGACACTTTTTATAGTCACCATTGGAGAGGGTTGTGGTGGTGCCATTAGCATCTCAGCCAGGGATGATGCAAGGCATCCACAATACACAGGACAGCACCCACCACAGAGAATTATCCAGATCCCATAGCCAGCAGTACCAAAGTTCAGATAAAGAAAAATAGTATCCATCTAAGATAAACTTAAAATGTCAAATCATGCCACCTATTCAACTGTCCTACAAGTAAATTAAGCTTATGTGTGCCAACTGGAAATCATCTTAATGTTTCTCTGTTTTTAATTTTTTTTTAAATGGCCATTCCAAATGAAGGACAGATTTCTGCCTAAGGGACCACATACCATCATTTTTTGAAGATTACAACTTTGAGGGTCTCTCAAAGTGTCACAAAAGTATTTAATCCCATTGTTGGTATAAAGTTAGTTCAGGAGTGTGTGTTACCCCCACTAAAGCAACATGCCCTCCATCTTGAAATTTGGTCTCACGTCAAGACTAATGACAGGACACACATACCACGAGGGTGAGTTACTCATATAATGAGGCTTACTGGGGTGAGCAGCGTGGCTCACAAGCAGGACCCATTAGGCTTCTGAAAGGAAGAAAGGAGGCTGGCTCAGAATTTTGTGGTAGTTATAGGGGTTTAGGGTGAGCAGAATGAGGTTCCCATATGCGGACAGGGCCTTACAGAGTTTGAAGTCCCTGCTGATGCCGCAGGAGAAAATACTGAGCTCTCTTATCAGCTTGCTCAGATATGGACAGAGGGGCAGAGGGTGAGGCTGAAAAGCTGTCAGAAGCAAAACATCAAAAATTGGAGTCCAACTCTATTACGAGGAGTCATGCTGTCAGTCAATACAGACACCATGGCCTGGGGAGTTCACAGTCACTAGTCTGACTGGCTCAGCTGTATGATCCATGGACTGGCCTTGAAGCCTGTCAGTGGCAGTGAAGCCTGACAGCTGGCTGTGAACATGAGTGGCCATAGCAGAAGCGCCCCAGGGCCCTACAGTGGACAAGAGGCGGTGCAATGAAGCAGTGACCAACACACACATCAGTGTCAACAGATGCACTTCCCTGCTCAACAGCTGTGTCTCCTGGAACAAGCAGCCTCAAATCCAAGTTCACTGGACCAGTAAGAATACTTAGGGACAGGGTCTTGATCTGCTGGTTTATGGAAGTGAATTCTCAGCTTTGTTTTTATATGATCAGACATAATTTTGAGCAAAACTGAATTTCTAGGCTTCGTTATGTGAAAAATGTACAAAGTTCTGTAATAAGGAATGAGAAAGATAAGATTTATGACCTTGCAAGCCTCTTTTTTTTTTTTTTTTTTTTTTTTTTAGTCTTTAAAGGAGAACTGCTTATGCCTCCATTGTAGAGTCTTTGTAGGGACTAAGTAACTGAATGTATGCAAACTGACAGGCTCCAAACACTGCCAGGACCACATGATGATGTTTCCTTGGGACCTGGGAGTCTGGGATGAGAATAAAGGAAAGAGTGATGTAGGCTGATACCAAGTTGACAAAGTAAGATGGAAGTTAATAAAATTCAAAGGAACAGGAAAAGTGTGAATAGCCTAAGTAAAATACAAAATAAGTCATCTGGAGTTTCCCTTTCTCATTCGGTCACACAAGGAGTGCACATGTGTTTGTATGTGTGCCCGTGTACACACATGCACACACAGAGCGATGTGTAATTTTGCATAGACCTATTCTGTTCTCTCATCCTAACTCAGGGCAGAAATCATTAGTAATAGTCCTCTCTTTGTGACAGGTGACTGCCAGTCATGTTTTCATACACAGGCATTGATTTTTGTAATTACCTGTTGTCCAAATACTAATCTTGCAGGCACTAGCCTTTTCAAATTTACTCAGTCTTCTAGTCTTTCTATTGCATTTTATTCTATTGATTTAGCTCTTCAGTCTACATTTCATTATTGGTATTGACTTTGCTCACACAATGGATAAGCCATTGAGCAAAAAGCAGGATTAAATCTTCTATATGTGGAGGGTCATAAATCATGTCTTTCTCATTCCTTATTACAGTGCTTTGAACAGTTTTCACATAATGATGCCTAGACATTCAGTTTTGTTCAAAATGATTCCAGAACTAATGAGAACAGAGCTGAGAACTCACTTCCATAAATCAGCAGAACAAGTTTTCCTGCTGGTCTGGTGAAATGGATTTGAGGCAATCATCAGGGAGGTGGGACCAAGAGAGAGGACCCAGTATGGTCAGTACAGAACCACCTGTGATTAAGGTAGAGTCTGCAATCCACTGGCTGCCCTGACTCAGGGTAGAACACTCAGTTATACATACTTTGAAGATCAGCAAGTGTCCAAAAATTGGGATAGGATGGCATAATGCAAACTGGAGATCCCAGCCAGACTAAGATCAAAAGAAAAGCAGTTGAGGAAAAATTGAAACACATGGGGAAGGAGGAAGCAGAAGGAGAGGGTCTGGGTCATTCCCACCAATGCACCAAGTTTGTGCAGTGCATTTACATGAGCTAATGAATATCTGATGTGTCGATGGGTCTTCCTACTAGTTTCAAAGGCAGAGCCACGATTGGATGGATGTCAATAATGTTAGAACTATTTCTGCTATATTATACCTTCAGAATTGTTGGGACTGTCACAATAAATTGAAATGCAGATAATCTGGACAGTTATTAACATGAAAACTTGCTCATATGTCTATACTATAGGTATTTTTTTAAAGATGTTTAAATGTTTGTTACTTCTTAGTATTTTTCCACAAGTCTTTCTTCATTCTCTCTGGGAACTACTCAGTTATGAATTTTAAGGACATCCCATGGGTTCGGGGACAATGCGAGGTGCCTGTTATGGGTTGTTGGTTATTTACTCCTCTCTCTTGCATCTCCCCTCATTTCTTCTTATGCACACATTAGAGCAGGTGTGCTGCTAGGCACCCATAGTCACACCTGGACAATCATACACAAACGGGAGCATATATGTCTGTGTGTACGCTACATGGCAGCATTCAAGATGATATGTGATATGTGATCTAGGGGTTAAACAAGTATTTGCTCATTTTCAAAAGACAGGAATGGATTATTTTTTAATATTTAAAATTTTTAACTTTTTATTTATGTTATTATAAATTTTAAAATTCAATTTGAGTTTTAAATTAATACAATAAAAATTTTAAACTTAAAATGTTAAATAGTTTCCCCATGTATATTTTAAACATAAGACCATTCACTTAAATAACATGCTTTTTTTAAAAACATTCAAATCTTCTTATGTGATATGATGTGGGAAGGACTGAACTATGTTTACTTCTGTGTGATGGAAATGACTGGTGACTACCACTGATGACGATTTAATTTACTTTTTTGACCTGACTTTCTCATTTTACATGAAAAATTAGCTTTATCTATCAAATATGCAACCAGAGTGTTCCAAGTGTTTGAAGGTCTTATACAGTAAATTGACACAGTTTGAAGATGAGAACAATTTATGTAGGAAACCAATGATAATTGTATCTTCCTAATTCCTAACAAACCTGTTATTAATTGCCTTACCCTCTTCCTTCCAATAAAGCCCTTTTTTGTTTTTAAAGAAATTGATTTTTTAGTTCTAGTGGGGAAAAGTTTTGTGTTTAGTAGGGGAATCAAATATGAAGAATGTATAAATCCTATCTTAAGGAATCTATAACCACCTGGACAGACCGTGGGTAAACAGGGCCCTATCACATCTGGTGTTCAGCCCCTGTGTAGGGCAGGTCCCCTACAGTGCTTAAGTTCCAAATCCAGTCTCATGGAGTTAGAGAGAGCTTCCCCCTTCCTCTAGTGATTATAACACAAAATTTTAAATTAGAAGTTTCCAGAATAATATAGTTAATTTATACTCGCTTAGAATTGACAGAAGAGGCTCAGATTTAAGAGTATAGGTCCTTTGGAGAGAGTGTGTGTGTGTGTGTGTGTGTGGGTGTGAGGTCCTTTGGAAAGAGAGAGAGAGAGAAAGAG